GCGTATGATTCTCCATGATCTCATCATATCCTAAAAGCAGATAAGGCTAACTGCCCGTTATCAAAAATAGCATTGATCGATGATTGCGCCTTGAGCCATTATCCTAATAACCCCCAAAACATTGCCAGAATCACTAACTGATCACTCCAAAGCCAAAGAGACACTGGGACAAAGGAGATCAAATCCACTTGCTGCAGGGTTTCTATATATAAGTATCGCCATGGACAGCGTTTATTAGTCACGATTGGACGTGACCGATGCGTGATGCAATGGGCTCTGCCCATTAGTTTGGTCGTCCAGACTGTCATCCTCATCCTCCAGAAATCCCTCCAAGCCTTCGTTATCCGCATCCCCAGGCTTGCGCCGGGTGTGCTCGTCCAAGGTATCGTCCGCTGAAATGGAAATGCCGCGAGCACCCCAGCGGTTGTTGCTAGGCCTATCACCACCATCTCCCCTCTCCCCTTCCATTCCTTCTCCGGTAAGGTTCTGCTCCTCGTCCAGACTTTCTCGTCGCCGTCTGATATTGAACACCTTGTTCACTATCCAACTTTTGCTATAATCTTCCGAATCGACCACACCGCCATTTCGAAGCTTGACGCGCTGACGAGAATAGTAGACCCAAGCGAAATCGACATAGAAAGCAGTTTGAACGATACCAAAGATCATAGCGATTGGATCCCAGTGTTTCTCGGGACCGAACCCTCTCACAAACCAGTTCAGTATGTAGAACGCGCGGTAAGAGCCCAGAGCGAGGAGATAGTATGAGTCGATGACCGTAGGAACGGTAGTCTGACGGAGTAGAAGGAGCTGGGGAAGCACGCATACGGATTCTAGGATGATGGAGAAGGACCACATTGTCTGCATAGTATTTCCAATCAGCACTGAGGCAACAAGATCTCTGTGTGCACGGCGTGCTAGACCCACCTCGGTGAACCAGTGGATTTTGAAGAATTCTTTGTCGTCGAAAATTGGAGTCACAATCGGCGCTAGGACAAGCGAAAGCACGACGGAACCGAGAGCCATCTTCCATGCCCTCTCTCTCTCACGTGTCCGCGGGTAGACCTTCATCATCAAGAAAATGATATAGAAAGAAGACAATATGTAGAAAAACTTGAAGAAAACGAGGTAGAAGCTTCTCCAACCGCTTCCTCGGAACAGATCAAGGTAGCGTGTGACAAACACAGCAGCATAAAGCATCTGTGTGAGTAGCGAGACACCTGATATTCAAAATCGAAGAGTCAGTTGCACGTCCTTATCCCTATTGCGAGGGGCGGGAGTGTCAGTACATACCTTCCGCACTTTTGTTCCGATGAATGGCCCACATTAAGATGCATTTTGACGATATGTGAGACAGATCGCCGAACAGGCGAAAGACATTCATACTCATCTTGGTTTATTCTTCGAAGCTTTGAAGGAGCCGGACTCGTACTCTGATGGGAAAACGCTGAAAGACAGTGTGGAGAGTCACCGTCGAAACTACCATCGACAACGTCCAATGGATCAAGCAGGCACTCAGGCGATCTAGTTACTGAAGCTTCGTTTGTGGTGAAGACAACCTTTGGAGCTTGGAGTGTGTTGCGACTCCTCACGGGAGGCTAAGATAAGACTACCCGGTTGCGGCGGTAGCTCAGCGTTTTAGGCAGCGAGATGACAATTGGAATTGTCGTCAGGTGGTATCGGCGAGGAAAGAAAGAAGACTGTATACTCAAGGGAGATAATCACTTAAAAACAATCAAATGTTGATAATGCATGGTGACACTGATGAAACAGAAGCAGAGGTCGAGGTACGTAACAAGTGATAGCAGTTGTGATCTGTTATCTCAGCTTCTCCTCTCAGTCATCCACCGCCCATCTGGCTTTACCCAATATGGTCTTAAAACACGGGGGCCGCGTCGTCCATCACGTGAGTAGCTCCGGCCGACATGACTGACGTCGCTCCTTAGCTCTTGGTCCAGCGCACTCCAGCTGTCTGCGAACATAAGTAGCTCTTCGATGGTCTAAACGGACAATTTCCTTCCTATGATGGGTTAAGTCTGTTTCGCGAGCCGGCTTGTCCTTTTTGCTCTCCGTGTCTTTGTTATATTCTTGAATACCAAGCATCTGAGATTCGCTGACTCGACAGCGCTAGGCGATCGTGCGTTCGTGCCTTGAAGGTTCTGTCAGCTTTACCAGCTTGGTGGTCTGAAGCTGATACCTCCTGCTGGTCACTTCGGCGATATGTTTATTAATGATCGAATAAGCATAGCTTTGTGCAAGAAAATTAGAACAGACTCTGATGCTACTAGATGTTTGCCAGTGGTATCAGGTTAGAGAATGCTTTTGATGGGCTTGCCGTATATCTGGGTCTCTTTTTCGTTTTGCGATAAGGACGGTCACCAAGCGCTTGATTGAAAAAATGCCGGTGCTTCGCAATTCAGCTCGACATGCTTTTCTCTTTTGCAGGTCAGTCGCTTACAATGTTACCCTGAAGAATAGACATCTTATATGGAGTTCCAATAACTCGGTCGTCGATAGGAAGAGAAATATGAGTGCTTACCTTATGTGGATCTCGATAAATTGAGATAATGCTTATCTGGGTGATCACTAACTCAAACCAACTATACTATCTTAAGCTCTTTAACCCTGAACCATTTGAGGTATCTCCTACCTTAGTTTATACTAGATAGTTGTCATCTTCGACAGTAACTCTGTCATACTTGGCAGGTTACCAGAGAGGATCAGCACAAAGTTGGAAGATTCACCACCTCAGATCTCGCCTTCTTCTGTCAATGCGGTAGTATATTACTGGTCAACTCACTGATGTACGTGATTTTGCAACAAATACCGACAAAGCAGGCAGCTTCTGTCCTTAGCGGACAAGCTTCGTATTGTCTGACTGGTTGGATTCTGCCTGATTGAGGCCTTCAGCTTACCCCGCACTTGTAGGGAGCATTGACACTCGGTGTACAGGGCTGGACTGTGATTACCTTGGGTACGGTGCAGAGGAGAAGGTACTGCAATACATACAATTACACAAAGAAACGTGAGCAGTTCTGGATTTCTGAGGTCGTACTCCGTGCCACGCGGTCGCTTCTGGGAGGCGTCAGAACACTACTAGGTATACAAAGATCTCCAGAGATCCTGGCGTCGGTTTGGTTTCAGTTTTTGTCACCCACGAAAAGACTCGGTAAAGTAGCTGGGCCATATTATTAGGTACTGGCTCCTCACTTGTCCTCATTCTGCTATTCTCTAATTTAGCTGCCGCCTCTCTTACTAGTAGTTTACAGGATCGCAACTTGCACAGGACAAATCCCGCCACCTTCCCCTCCTCTTTGTCTTGGCTTCTTCGTTACCTACCAATCTAAGTGGTTGCTACCCCAGGGATGATCAAGCTGGCCTTGTTGCTGTGATTGACCTTGATTCTGCAAAGAGTAGAAATTCGCACTACAAATGAGGTCACAGAGGCTATGGAGGAAGGATCAGTATTTCTATACAAGTATCAACTTATCTACTGGAACAAAGCACGAAGTCGTCTACCGTGCTTTGGACATGTCGGAGAACCCACGTACCCTGCAGTTAGTAAATGTGGCTTGCTGTATGAAGCACAGTACCAGATCCTGCTTACCCTTCTCACATGGTACGAGAGTCTGTCCCATGTTTGAGTCGTCACATTAGGAGCGAAAATGCTCTCTGATGGGATGCAGGCAATCACAATGCACAAGTGATGGTTTCTTGTCTCATGAGGATAATCTCTTTCAACATCTGATGTTCATTGGTTAGCACTGTCTAAAGCGAGGGCAAAAAAGCAAGTAAGTGGATTCGGACTGAGCGGGAATGAATGATGAAGAATGAATGAGGATGGTTCTCGATGCTCCCGTGGTCTTTTCTATCACAGTCTTTCTTCAACCCTCCGCTGACCTTTAGCCAGAGGTACCTATTATCTCTTACCTATCATCGATAAATCGTAGTGATTTATCCGTAGTGTACTGGTGATTCGATATATAGGTATGACAATGAATAATGCATCAAGTACAGAGTACTTTTGATATGTATGTAATGTAGCTGGTTGCCGTACTTTACCTACCTGGTTCTAGGTACTGTAGCTCAAAGGTACTTTTAGATTAGCTGACGGTTACTGGATCTGGCGTCTAGCATTGTTACAGAGAAGGATGAACTGCTGGTTCTTACTGCTCCCTTCCCAGTATTACTATTAGTTCCTTTTTTCTGTTTCCCTTTCCCTCCCTTCTCCCCTATTTGTTTATCGATCACTTCGTCAGCCTACCTCTACCTACTTCTCCTCCCACTGCTGCTTCTTCAACCTCCGAATGTAACTTGTCTCTGCTACTGACAACTATTACCATTACCCACTCTTCAGCTCGGGTTAAATACTTCTGATGTTTCCCCTCGTTTACTCTTCTTGAAGATAAAGATACCAATAAAATGAACTCTGACGATCAGTAAGCCTCACTCTGATCTCACACTCCTCTCCGTTCCCTCTTGTATCTCCACCGGGTCCTGACAAAGAGTGTCTTATCATCGTCGACTCCAGTCAACAACATCGAGTCAGTCCGTACTATTTTCAGCCAATGTATCCTAAGATGCTAGAGAACTACTCCTGTGATTGTGCCTAAACCTGTTTATACATCCCTCTCTATTTCCCTTCCCTCGCCTACTCTCCCCTCTGAACCCTCACTTTCCTACCCACTCCATCCCAGCACTCTCTTTTTTTTCGACTTATTCGCATACATACAGTACATGCATGCATGCATGTATCACCCTCCGGTCGCTCCTTTCTGCCCTTCGCTCATTTTCCCTCCTTCCTTTTCTGCGGCGCTACCGCCACACTGTGGGATGCGCCCGTGTCATCACCGCGTCTAGTGTAACAAAAAGAGCCCACTTCCCTAGACTTGACGGCCAATCTACACAAACTCCTGTCAGTAGCAGATGTGCTAATCTCCTAAGCATGTGTATTGACAGATGAATCGTCGCAGCGTGACTGGGACAGCGGCGTATCTTCCAACATGTCGTAAGTGACCTTTTTCTTGTCCTGCGCCGCAGCTGAAGACCTTCTTTCCCTTTCCATGTACTCCATATACATGGGACATACATGTGCTTGCCATAAGCGTGTTTCTCTTGGTACGGTTCCCGCTCATGGCGGGAAAGGGAGCAGGTCTCACTTACTAACCTTGAGTCTCTCTTCATTTCTCTATTTGAGCAGGTCGCCTCCAACATCCAAGCGCATCAAGACATCTGTCTCCACCAGCGTACCACCACAACTCCTAACACAGCAACAAATCAATCCTTTCCAGAGAGTCCCTGCTTACGAGGGCATTCCTATACCTCCTGCTCAGGTGGCGCCTCAGAACTCCCGCAAACGCCGCGCTTCACCCCAGTTAAGTGTCGCAGCAGCCATGGCTGCACCAGTCACTTCTGCTTCGGCAGATGCAACGCAGACCCCCCAAAGTGCCCCAGAAGCGGCCCCAAAGAAGAAAGGACGGACCAATACGCCCTGGACGGCGGAGGAAGAACAGAGACTCAAGACGATGCGCGACGCGGGTCGCAGCTGGAGCGAGATTGCCAAGGTTCGCCTCGATCGTCTACCTTATCCTGATAGAACTTGCTTCGCTGATTGTTTGCTCCTTTGCGAACCCTGCAGACCTTTCCCACCCGAACTGAGGGGAGTGTGAAAAAGCACTGGTACAAGGTTGGGCGTGTCCTCACCCTTATGAGCTCGGATATGATACTTACATCGGTGACAGGATATGCATTATGCCGAGTTCGCGGAAGAAGAGGTACTGCCTGACCGATTATTGCATGATCTTTGCGGGTTGACACAATTCAGTCTGTTGCCCTACGGGAGGCAATAAAAGAATACGAGGCCAACAAGTGGAAGGTCATCGGACAGAAGGTTGGAAAGCCCGCCAAAGTTAGTGGCCTCTTCCTCTTCCCCCAACTTACGTGGTGTCCGACTCCTAAATCATTATGTATAAACAGGCATGCGAGCAATATGCGAAGGAGCATTTCAAGAATCTTTGATTGTGATATGACATTCAACGACGTGACGATTTTCATGCAGGGTAATGATGCAGCGCTCTATATATCGAACTCGGTGCTTCTCGGTTGGCACAGAGCGCATCGGTAACAAGGTTTAGGAACGGCACAGGTTCATGGAGTTCGTCATTTTTCATTTATCAAGTCGATTTTCTTTCGTTTTGTTGGGTTTCCTTTCGGCCGTGCTCTTCTACTGTCACTATATGCCCTTGACTTCACTTGTTCATTTTCGATTATATGCATTTCTCTACCAAGTTGATGCATGTGCTAGAATCAATGTGATTGCTCAAGACATCCCGAGCCACACGGGCCTATCGAGCCGTCCCTGTTTCAGTCCCCTTTGCTTAACAATATTATCATACTTAGCACTACCAGGACGATAATGTACATCGTAGGGCTTGGATGGCCCAAGCTCTCCGAGGGCTGATCGTTGAGCGTTTGAGGTTTCCACGACAAAAGCGATAGAGACGATAACTACCTGTCGCGGTTATCTGATACTTAATCTGTTATTCATCTTGTCCCTTCAGATTTCGACCCATAGTCCCATTGAAGATGATTTTGCCAAGGCGCGAAGGGCGGAGACCAAAAAAGAACGTTTTTGACGCTGAAAAAAGTTTCCCGCGGCGGGAAATAGATACTTGGAAGAAACCTTCCTCGGATCCCCGCTCGTTTCTTTGACTCTCTTCTGTTCTTTTTCTTTTCTTTCTTCTCTTCATCATACTCGTGGTACTCATCCTTGCGTCGATCGAATTTTGTCAGAGAGGGAAGAGGCTTGCGCTCATTGGCATAACGATCGAGTTCCCCACATATTGCTCGGTAGTTAGTTCTCTCCATCAAGGTGTGGAGACAATCCTTCATCGGAGCAAAACTCGGTGACTCAAAAGATATTCCCTCCCTCTATTACCAGGTCACCGAGTATCACACCGGTTCGATACCCATTGGGACCGGACGCAACATTCCAGTACAACTCTCCTGTCTTCTTAAATCTGCAACAGATAGCTTTCAAGCCTATCATGAAGACGAGTAGCCTGGTTTTGTCTATCGATCAAGGTATCTAGATAATCTGCCTGCATGATGACCGGTGTTCGGCTTCAGTGTTGTGTTTCACATATCGCCCGGTGGTCGTTGTCGCTAGTCGCATCGTCAGATTGTCGCCAATGGTCCCCTGGGTACATGTGGCGTCGCTGTTGTCGTTCTGAGATTATACGGTTGAACTTGATCTGGATAATTCCAGCGAAAGGACTCATGCGCGCTTCTTTGAGCTTCTAGCCCTTTCAATCGTATTTGAATACTAACTCAGGGTAACAGCATGTCGTCTGAAATCGCAAATCCCTCGCTAGGGATGCACTCCGAAAAGGAGCCTTCGGGCTTCCGTTCCGAGGAGCAACCGACTCCTCATCCTCACAAGAATGGTGAAACCCATAGCGAGAGCCCCAATGGCCGCGTTATCCCGTCCCGCCTGGGCATGTACTTTAGGAGGTTCGAACAACAGCTAGTCGAGTATAACTTCGAGGCTCGCGGAATCGAACGAGTGCATGAGGGTGAACGCATGAAGAAGCTCTCGTGGGTTTCCTATACCCAGGCGTTCCTGCTCTGGGTCTCGATCAATCTGGCAGCAAACAACATAACTCTGGGAATGTTGGGCCCTGTTGTTTATGAGCTCAGCTTCCTTGATTCGGCGTTGTGTGCTGTCCTGGGTGCATTGCTTGGTTCCATAGTGTCGTCGTGGATGGCTACTCGAGGACCTATCTCTGGAATCCGCACCATGGTATGTTCTCGTCTCGCTAAAGGTTTTCTGTGCGATAGCCAGATTTCTCTGACAGTTATACAGGCTTTCGGCCGTTATGCAATGGGATGGTGGCCCAGCAAGATCGTAGTGATCTTGAACTTGATCCAGATGCTCGGGTATTGCCTCATTGACTGTGTAGTTGGAGGCCAAATCTTGTCCGCTGTCTCACCAAATGGGAATTTGTCAGTTGCCGTTGGTGAGTAACTTGTCACTTATTAATGCTTGTCCTTCTATTAAGAAGACGAAGGTATCGTGATTATAGCTCTGATAAGTTGGGTCGTTGCCACCTTTGGCATTGATGCCTTCCATTACTATGAGCGGTATGTGAACCTTGAGAGAGTTGTACAGACAAAGACTGAACGTATCCAGCTACGCCTTCCTTCCTCAGTTGATTGTCGTCTGCATCTTGTTCGGCGTCTCCTCCACGAAATATGACCTGTCGACGCCATCGATCGGAGATGCTCGCACAATCATTGGGAACCGGTAAGCTTTTAGGGTCTTTGTTTATATATGGCGAAAAGACTTTGTTCGCGTCTGACACCATCAGGCTATCGTTCTTTTCGATTTGCGTGAGTGCTGCCATCACCTATGCTCCCCTAGCGGCAGACTTTTTCGTCTATTATCCAGAAGGAACCTCCAAGTTGGCCATCTTCTCACTATCCTTGTCCGGCCTGATGGTCTCCTTCACCCTGGCCTTCCTCGCCGGTATTGGGCTCGCCTCCGGTATCCAATCCCACATAGAATACAGCGCGGCATACGCAAAGGGTGCAGGCGCCCTCATCGTCGAAGGGTTCGGCCCTCTGCACGGATTCGGCAAGTTCTGCTCCGTAGTCGTCGCCCTCGGGCTGATCGCCAACACCGTTGCGCCGACATACTCCGCCGGCGTCGACTTCCAAATCCTGGGCCGGTACGCGGAGAAGGTCCCTCGCGCTATTTGGAACACCATTGGCGTAGTCATCTACATCGTCTGCGCGCTGGCGGGGCGGAGCCACCTGTCCGAGATCTTCACCAACTTCCTCGCACTTATGGGATACTGGGTCGCGATCTGGATCGCCATCATTCTCGAAGAGCGGTTCATCTTCCGCTTGCGCAGCGGGTACAACTGGTACGCCTGGAACGATCCGTCCAAGTTGCCCGTGGGCATTGCAGCCTTCATTGCATTCCTGGTGGGCTGGGCCGGTGCAGTCCTCTGCATGGCGCAGCTGTGGTACATTGGACCGCTTGCCAAGTTGGTCGGGGAATATGGTGCAGATGTAAGTGCTATCATCGTTCTCTTGCCTGTAAATCCCTCCTGACTTTCTATAGATGGGCAACTATGTGGGATTCACGTGGGCCGGCCTCGTCTACCCTCCCTTACGGTACTTTGAACTCCGCTGGCTCAAACGGTGAGTTCCCGGTGACTGAGTACTTGAGCTACGACAAAACATTGTCACGGCCGAACAAATGGACATATACGACTTTAACAAGAGTAATGGCCAAGGAGAAGGTTTCAAGGTGGGAATAATATTGAAAAGTTCGTTGTTGGATTCCTAATGCATACACGTCTATTCCATAGCAATAATGCCATTGATAAGTTTTGGTTATTGATTCGTTCGGTCACTGAAACCTGTACCTATTAAATTGCTGATGCCTAATTCACCTCGATCGCACACTTGGCTGGCATTTGCAGTCAAAGACCTAGCCACAAACGAAGGCACGGGGTCTCGGTGTACTTCCGGTTCCCCGGTATTCCCGTAGATCAGGCCATACTCCATAATTCGTACTAGGCCATGTCATGCCATCCAGCCGTGGTTGCATGTCAGCATGTGTCACTTCTTTCTCAAATATTGCATAGACTTGGCGGTTTGACAAAGTCTATCATGGAAGACAATCTACAGTAAAGTGGTAGAGCTAGGAAGAAGAGAAAATCGACACAAAAAGAACACCATCACTCCTTTCAATCAACTTCGACTATATTCTACAAAAAAAAATTCACAGGGAGGGGTCAACAGTGAAGATACAACCGCCTTAGACGCGCGACAATAAACGGTCAAAAAGGCCCGAGGTGGGAATACTAGCTATTTTGACTTTCGCAGCTTATCGTCCGTTCTTTTCTCCTAAATCTTTTCCGTGGAGTAACAGGCCACAGGACAATCGCTCAATATTCGTAGCATGGAATATTTACCGGTACCAGTACTCAGGCTTGACGTAGTCGGCGAAAGTCTTGGGCTCCTCGTGAGGGGGGTGGTGGCTGTGATGCTCGTCTACGAATAGATATGTGAGAAGCCGAAAAACAACCGAGAAATAGAAGGCAAGCAGCGATATGAGACAAGTGAAGGGAACTTACGAGCATGGGGGTCCTCCTCAGGTCCAACATACTCCAGCTTGACGACATTACCACACTCGGCGCAGCGCTCGATAGGACGATCACGAGATACCTATGGTGAGAGAAGATATGATTTAGCCATCTGCGCAGTTTGGTGCCACAGAGCCACAACGCGTGCAATGCTTACCGTCAGCCAGACGGTGTGGTGAGAGTCTGCGGGGTATCCAGTGCAACCGGCGTACTGCTCATCACCAGCGCTCTTGACAATGATGGGGTTGTCAAGAGTTCCTTAAGACGCAAGCTTCATTAGCCTCGATTCAAACGCGCGACACGCTGCTCCCACGCCTCATTTCATGCAAGGAGATCCGCATACCCTTTCTGGAAGCATCGAGGGGTCTCATATCGAAGATGTCAATGCCCTGCATCTTTCCGATAAGTTCCAGACGCTCAAGACCGGTGGCCTGCTCAACGTCCGTGGGGACGGTACCGGGCTTAGCACCCGGAGGAATGAGGTCTTCTTCACCCTTGATATCTGCAAAGTAATCATAGTGTGTCAGCACAATGCCTTGTTCACAGCGGGTGTTATAGCCGAGGGAAAGTCAACAGGATTCAGTATGACGAAAATGCAAGGACGAGACTGGGAACGAGCCCAGCGACACGTTGCATAGCACAAAATAGTAGCTCTCGACAGAAACACTGGTGAATATTCTCGGCATTCTCATAACGTTGCATGATAGGGGACCGGACGGATCATCTTATCACCAACCTTCAAAAGGAAGAATCTTGCCCTCCTTCTTCACCTCATACTTCTTTTGGCCTAAAACATAAAAAGTCCAATATTAGCCAGAGTACCATGCAGCATTGTCGACAAATGTCATCCATTGCCTAGTG